GCTGAGGCTGAGGCTGAGGCAAGCTGCGGCTGAGGCAGGCTGAGGCTGAGGCTGATGCAGGCTGAGGCTGAGGCCGAGGCAGGCTGAGGCTGAGGCCGAGGCAAGCCGAGGCAGGCTGAGGCTGAGGCTGAGGCTGATGCTGAGGCAAGCCGAGGCAGGCTGAGGCTGAGGCTGAGACAGGCTGAGACTGAGGCAGGCTGAGGCTGAGGCTGAGGCGGAGGCAGGCTCAGGCCGAGACAGGCTGAGGCTGAGACTGAGGCTGACGCTGAGGATGAGGCCGAGGCAGGCTGAGGCTGAGACAAGGTGAGGCTGAATGTGGGGGGGGGGGAGGAGGGGAGGCTGAGGCAGGCTGAGGCCGAGGCAGGCTGAGGCTGAGGCAGGCTGAGGCTGAGGCTGAGGCAAGCCGAGGCAGGGTAAGGCTGAGGCTGAGGCTGAGGCAGGCTGAGGCCGAGGCAGGCTGAAGCCGAGGCAGGCTGAGACTGAGGCTGAGGCAGGCTGAGGCTGGGGCCGAGGCAGGCTGAGGCTGAGGCAAGCCGAGGCAGGCTGAGGCTGAGGCTGAGGCTGAGGCAGGCTGAGGCATCCGTAGGAATCCATAAGAATCCTCAGGAATCCATAGGAATCCTTAGGAATCCGCAGGCATCCTTAGGAATCCGTAGGCATAGTTAAGCATCCTCTGGAATCCTTAGGAATCCTTAGGATTCCATAGGAATCCTTAGGAATCCCCAAGAGTCAAGATTCCCAAGGTTTCCTAAGGATTCCTATGGATTCCTAAGGATGCCTCAGGATGCCTTAGAAATCCATCGGAATCCTTGGAATTCCATTGGGTCCTAAGGCCGTTGCCACTGTGACTGTCATTGCGAATGCGACTACGACTGCGAAATCTCAGAATTCTACAACTGGATTCCCACCTGAATTTTAAGGGGAATGTTTCCAGATATGCTTATACACATCGCTTTTAGGTTGCGTTGCCAGGATGTTCTTTTTTTATGAAAAGGCACAACAATATATTCCACAACCCACCAGGGGCCGGAGTTATCCATCCCTTTTTTCGTATTGCAGTTTACATGCGATTCTGCCCCATCGCCCATCCGAAATATGAAATCGTACCATCCCAACCGAGCTGGTATCGACCCCCCACCCGCCATCCTCAGCAAAAAATGATGCGCGCGCATCCGTTCATCAAAACTCACGAATTCCCAATCATCATTTGCAAACAAAAAACCAAGTGTACACGCGCGCGTTGTCGCGCGCGCGCCGAAATCCTTCAGACAAACAATCGGTTTCGTAAAGTGTTCACAATCGGCTGTCCAATCTATGTATATATATATATATATATATATATGTATGTATATGTGTATGTATATGTATATGTATATGTATATATACACACATATAACACGTGGTTTCGCAGCGCGGAATCAATCAAGTGCGCACGCTCTTGCTATCTCTAATGAAAACCAGAAATTCCTCACGATGTTCTGGAAATGCTACGAAATGGGCTTCGTGCGCGCGTGTCGAAATCGTTCGAACGCCCTTGCGCGTGTGCCGTCGCGATACTCCTTAGCAACAACATGAACGAAGTGCACGCGCGCGCCGTCGCGCGCTGGCGGAAATCCTTCAAAAACCTTCGGTTTCGTAGCAATTTCAAAACCGAGTTCCGAACAAACACATATGTAGATTAAACAACACATGGTTTCGCAACCTCAGTTTTCAAAGAGGCGTGCGCTCGCGCTCTTGCGGATTCTTTGGGGGGCCACAGGTTTTCCAACACTTTCATGGGTTTCTGCCAAATGGGCCTTTGGCGCCGCATGCCGACATGATTCGCGCGCCCTTGCGCGCGTCTGGGGGGCACGATCCGTGTCAACAAAAACACGATGCGGGCCACTCTCGCGCGTCGGCAGCGCGCGCATGTCGAACTCTAGCCAAAACTTCCAATGCGAGGACGCCGTCATCGTCGCCGGCGTGATCAGCATCGGCACCCGCACTGACCGCGCCGTCGTCGTTGTCAACATCGTCACCAGCATCGCGAGTATCGTCATCGCGTCTACCGTTGTCGACGTTGCTATGATACCGCGCCCGCCCAAGTCGCCGACTCGCACTGAAGTGCCCGCTGGGATACGCCCAACGGTCAGCGCCACCGCGGCCGCGCCGGTCGCGTCAAAGTAGCTGGCCGCTGCGCGCGCGCTTGGGTTGGCGCGGTCAGCATCGTCACCAGCGTCGCCACTATCATCATGAGTCGTGTCTACCGTTGCCGACGTTGCTATAATACCGCGCCCGCCCAAGTCGCCGACTCGCACTAAAGTGCCCGCTGAAATGTGCCCAGCGGTCAGCGCCACCGCGGCCGCGTCGGTCGCGCCAAGCTAGCTGGCCGCTGCGCGTGCGCATGCGCGGACTGGCGCGGCCGTCAAGATGCACCAGCCAACGCCAAGCACTCATCGCAATCGCCGCCACATGGGTTTTGCAAACCAAGTTGCGGGTGGGTGGGTGGGATGTTTGCGCGAACAGTGGAGGTGGTCAAGCGCGGCGCAAGGTAGTCAATTGCACAACGTAGATTGCACCACGTGGGCTGCACCGAATAGATTCTCCTTTCTGACAACAGGATAGGATCGTGCGCGCGCGCTCTTGCGTCGTCGTCGTCGTCGTCGTCGTCGCCGTCCTCCCTCCTCCCGCGTCGTCGTCGTCGTCGCCTACGTCGTCCTGTGTCTTTCCTCGTGTTCGTCGTCGTCGTCCTCGTTGGCGTCGTGGTCGTTTCCGTCGTCGTTGTCGCCGTGGTCGTCCTTCTTCCTCCTCCCTCGTCGTCGTCGTCCGTCGTCGACGTCTCGTCGTCGTCCCTCCTATTTCGTCGCCGTCGTCGTCGTCGTCGTTGTCGTCGTTGTCGTCGTCGTCGTCTTCCTTCCTCCCTCGTCGTTGTCGTCGTCGGCGTCGCCGTCCTTCCTCCTTCTTCGTCGTTCGCGTCGTCGCCGTCCTCCCTCCTCCCTCGTTGTCGTCGTTGTCGTCGTTGTCGCCGTCGTCGTCCTCCCGCCTCCCTCGTCGTCGTCTTCGTTGGCGACGTCGCTGTCGTCGTCGTCGTCGTTGTCGTCGTCGTCGTCGTCGTCGGCGTCGTCGTCGTCGGCGTCGTCGTCGTCGTTGTCATCGTCGTCGTCGTCGGCGTCGTCGTCGTCGTTGATGTCGTCGTCGTCGTTGTCGCTGTCGTCGTCGAAGTCGTTGGAGACGTCGTCGGTGTCGTCGTCGTCGGTGTCGGCGGCGCCGTCGTCGTCGTTGTCGCTGTCGTCGTCGGCGTCGTGGCCAAGTGCCATCTGGTACATACCGTCACGGTCTTGTCTTAAGAGGTCTTGCGACCAAGTTGCGGGTGGGAGGGTAGGATGTTTGCACGAGCAGTGGAGAGGACAGCTTCAAGACTGTCAAACTTATATATATATATATATATATATATATATATATATATATATATATATATATATATATATATATATAAAATGTACCCCCCCCCCCGGAGTTATCGCCCCCCCTTTCGGGTATGTAAATCACATACGATTCTGACCACATGTCCACCCTACATATAAAATCACAATGTCCCAGGCCAGCCGGTATCCCCCCCCTGAGGTTCCCCTGGGCAAAAACACTATGCGGTGACACTTTTTGTTCTAACACAGCATTTTTGCGCGAATCACTTGCAAAACAATGGACGAAGTGCACACGCGCGCGTCGTCGCCCGCGCATGCCGGGATCCTTCAAAAACCTTCGGTGCCGGAGGGGTTTTCCAATCGAGTTTCCAAAACACATACAAAAACAAATCGTTTCGTAACGCTGATTTGCAAAAAAACCTTACGCGCGAGCTCTTGCGAAATCTTGAAAAATAATTGGTTTTTCAAAATTTTCACAACATGCTACCAAACGGGCGTCGCGCGCGCATGTCGAAATCTGTCGAACGCCCTTGCGCGTGTGCCGTCGCGACAATCCTCAGCAAGAAACGGGACGAAGTGCAGACGCGCGCGTCGTCGCGCGCGTCGTCGCGCGCGTACGCCGAAATCCTTCAAAACCCATCGATTTCGGAAGGATTTCAAAATCGCGCGTCCTAAAAACCTACAACATCACAAGGTTTCGCAACAAGGATTTTCAACAAAAGCGTGCGCGCGCGCTCTTGCGGCGTCGTCGTCGTCGTCGTCGTCGTCGTCGCCGTCCTCCCTCCTCCCGCGTCGTCGTCGTCGTCGTCGCCTACGTCGTCCTGTGTCTTTCCTCGTGTTCGTCGTCGTCGTCGTCATCTTTGGCGTCGTGGTCGTTTCCGTCGCCGTCGTCGTCGTCGTCGTCGTCGTCCCTATTTCGCCGCCGTCGTCGTCGTCGTTGTCGTCGTCGTCTCGTCGTCGTCTTCCCTCCTCCCTCGTCGTTGTCGTCGTCGGCGTTGCCGTCCTTCCTCCTTCTTCGTCGTTCGCGTCGTCGCCGTCCTCCCTCCTCCCTCGTTGTCGTCGTTGTCGTCGTCGTCGTCGTCGCCGTCGTCGTCCTCCCTCCTCCCTCGTCGTCGTCTTCGTTGGCGACGTCGTCGTCGTCTTCGTCGTCGTCGTCGGCGTCGGCGTCGTCGTCTTTGTCGTCGTCGACGTCGGCGTCGTCGTCGTCGCCGCCGTCGTCGTCGTCGTCGTAGTCGGCCGTCTTGCTTCTCTGGGTTTCTCGGGGCGCTCTTGAGACGCCCCCGAGGGCTCCAAGACGACCCGGGAGCGATATCTGTGCTCGGTCCCGCATGGGTTTTGCAAACCAAGTTGCGGGTGGGTGGGTGGGATGATTGCGCGAGCAGTGGAGTTGACAACTTCAAGTTCGGCAAGTGATTAATTACACGAAGCATAGATTGCACGACATCGATTGCACCAAACATATTGCACCATAAAGATTGCACACATGTTCATGGAAACACGCTGCCTGGGGTCCACGCTGGCTAACATAGAATTGCATACTCGTGTTTTTTTCATAATCCTCGTCGTGATCGCCGTTGTCATCGCCACTCGCCGCATCTATTCCGGCGTCGCTGCACGGAGCGTGCCTACCCGAGCACTGGGCGTGCCTGCATCACGACCATCGGGTTGTCCACCGCGCGTCAGCCGCATCATGACGGACTTCATGCCCTCATGGCTGGTTTTGGACCTGAAGAGCTGGAGGGCTGAAATCGGGGGCCTCGCTGATTGACAACTTGGAGCACCTGGCTCACGGGCGCTGCGTGCTTCTGCACATCCAGTCTAATCGCTCCGGCTGGCTGACGTGCAATCTATGTGGGGCAGGTGCTGGGCAGCGATTGCTGTTTTGGAGAAGATGACTGCCCCGGTGGACACTTGCAGCGCGGCAGCACTATTGAGCAGCTTGGCTTGAATGGATGGCGGGCCAAAGCGATAAGAGCTTCCACACGTAGGGGCGAAAGCAGGGAACACGAAGGCTAGGGTCTCTCCTGGGCCCCAGATCGGCGTCTTCCACCGAAGCCGCGTCCGCGGCAGGTGCCTCTTGCTTCAGTCAGGGGGACGTAAGACCTGGGTACAGGGGACTCGGAAATCCCCGACGAGGTCGTCAAAAAAATGACGAGGCCGAGCCTGCATTTTGTCGAGGCCTCCCGCTGCAGACATCCCGCGAAACTCCTCCTCGTCAAAATCCGAGGCGCGGTCGTCAAAAAACGATGGCGAACCCGAGTCCTGGCAAACCCGGGTCTTACGCTCCCCCGATTCAGATCGAAAGATCTGTCGGCTGGCGCCCATGTGTCCACTGGCTCAAAGTCGTGACTCTAGGAACCCAAGCCTTGGACGGAGCTCCGAGCCCCAAACTCCCAGAGCACTGCAGACTACAGTCGTCGTGCTTCGGGAGCGGCCAAGAGGGGGGTGTCCAAGAGGGGGGGGTGCAAATCATAACGGGCGGCATGTGCGCGGCCCAGCGGGGGGGCCTGGGACGTAATAAAACAAGAAGAGGCGCCCAGAAATCTGGGGAAAAATCATGGCCCGCGTCATGATATCCACCCCCCCCCTAGTCATCACCCCCCTCTTTTCCGCTCCCGAGTGCTGTGCCACACTGGAGCGCTGAATCCGGGACGGAGAGGGCTCCTCGGCCACGACGAGCCCCGGCCTTGGAACCAATTCCCTGGCGCAGATCTCGGGAAAGGCCCCGAAGCCAGAGCCCTGCCTGGGCCCGAAAGGGTTCTTACTTCAGCGCCTTCCTGACCCAAAAGCTCAAGGCCATTCGGGCCCATCTGCTCGGGGATGTGGTCCGCTGAGCCGTCAGCATGCGCAGAGGAACGTGGATGGAGAATGCTGTGCCACAGCCCTCTCTTGCAGACTCCAGCGTGTGGGTGGTCAGGCAGCCACGCGTGAGCTCTGTTCCTGCAGGTCAGAATTATGAAAAAGCGGCTGGGGCTCAAAATTTGAAGTATATCTGCAGCCATGTGGACGCCAGCGGGGATTTTCTGTACCCCAGAAGCGATTGGACCCGCACGGGTAGGGTTCGCTAATGGTCGCAGAGTGGTGGGCATTGGGGCGGAGATTGAAGCGCAAAGTGTACGGGCAGCGGCGGAGTGGTCGCAGAATGCTTGGGCTTCGGAAGCTGTCATACAGAACCCTACCCAAACCAGCAAAACCACAACTGATTACCGCCTCAACCCTGGCATGTTCCAAGGGCCCCGCTCGCATATCCCCCGACCGACCAACAATGTCGCGGACCCGGTTCTTTCCACCAAGCCACTCCAAGCCACTCCACGCTACTCAGTACGCAATGCTCAACTTCACCAGGGGAATTCCAACCTGCTCCGGGCCAAATTATCCTCATTCGTTGGACAAGTGCGCCATCTGTGCTCCATGCGGATGTCCTTCTCCCACCTGAACTTGCTCTCGCTAAAGCCGGCATCTGGAGGGAGGCGGCGAAACTGAGTCTGCTATGTCCGCTACGCAAGACCATCCGTCAACGTGCCAATGACACATCTAGGCGAAGGGAAACGCGTGTAAGTGCTGGCTGGTGCAGTATCTGCCATCCCCAACCATCCTGTGCAGCCGGGTCCTGGTTTTGAACCCGTGGCGCCGCGCTCCACCTCCCGCAAAGAGGCCCCAGGGAGGCCTCGACGAGATCCCGACGACGATCCAAGAGGCCTCAGACCCACGACTCAGGCACGGCGGTGGGATGGGTCGAATGCCACTCGATATCTGCTACTCCCATCCATCATGTGTAGTCGGGACCTGGTTTTGAGTCCGTAGCGCTACGCTTAAGTCGGGCGTGTCCCCCTACAAGGGGATTTTCGACGACAATAAAAAATACGCAACACATGCTCCCAAATGGTTAAACAAAATACTCAAATAATAGTCCCCAGACGATTTTTTTAGAGGGGAAACAAACCTACCTCGCTTTTGACCACCCTCGCTTCCAAGAGATACCAAACGATGCCAAATTGCAGCCTGTACTGGTCAGGCCGCTTGACGAGGAGGCGCGTGGTATGGCTTGGTTTTGCCTGGAAGCGAAAGCGGGGTAGGTAATTTACGCTCTGATTTTTGACTATTTTTGAACATTCCCCCTGTAGAGGGACAGGCCCGACTTAACGCTACGCTCCACCGCCCTACCGCCTCCCCGTCCTTCCTCCTGCCTCTGCGTCTGCTCCCCGCCCGCATGCCCCGCGCACCGTGCCCCCACCAGACGGCGGGCGCGCCCGCGGCCCTGGCGGGGCGCGCTCGCAGGCCGCAGCCCGCCGGTTTGGCACGCTCCTCGCACGCCTCGGGCCAAATGAGGCCCAGGAGGGGCGTGCCCTCATGCCGCACCCCCGCCCACTTCAACACACCCCTCCCGCGCATCGTGCGCCCGCAGGGAGCTCCACACACAGCCCTGCTATGGGCGCGCTGGCATGCTGCGCGCGGCCCATGTCGGCAGCGCCGATCCCTGGCGCGCGGAGCGCGCCGGGGATCGGCGCCCAAGGAGCCGCCAGGGGTCTCCAGCGCCGATGAAAGGAATCCGCGCAGAACTCCGTATGCGGTTTTGGGCTCTCCGATCCAAGCTGGCTGAACCCGTCACGCGGATCCTGCACCACGGGAGATTCACCCCGCCCGCGACGCTTGCGCCGCAGACCCTGGTCCCCGTGGGCCCCACGACGCGCACGACGTGAAGCGAGTTCCGCGCCCTGCGCAGCGCGCTGCTGCATAGGGCGCGGAGTCTTCGCCGTGCCGCGGCTGGGGAAATTGCCTGGCGTGTCGCGGCAGCGGCCCGGGCGGCACGCGGAGCCCTGCCAGCGGATAGCGTGTCGCTCCGCCTCGACGGGCGCCAGGCTGAGAAACCACTCGGGGCATTAACGCTCGGGGACCAAGACGTGGATAGCGTGTCGCGCCGAAGCGTGGTGGGCTAGAACCGGCGGCGCGACGCGCTAAGCGAAGATTTCCGACCTTAGGTTTCAAGAGGTGGCCACCCCCGCATTGCGTACCCGCGCATGGAGGCAGAACGCATTGCATTAACACAAACTTTGGGAGCTCCGTGCGGATCTCCTGGATCTGCGCGGAACCCCTCTCCCTGGGAGCGCGCCAGGGGCGGCGCCGGAGGCGCCGCCGGGGGGGGCCCCAGCGCCGATCCGAGAAATCCACGCGGAACTCCGAAAGCTTACCCATCGGTCGGAAGAAGTAGGTAGAAACATGAAGTAGGAAGGCGTTGAAAATAGGTTGGGTGTCCGCCCGCCCCCTAAAAAGGACGGAAACGGCGAAGCCACTCGAGCATTGAAGTAGGGAGGCGCCTGAAGTAGATTGGAATCTGCGGTTCCAAAGATACCGTCTTTCAACGACCGATGGGTATGGGGTATGGTCATGGAGTTGTTTCTCTTTTGAACCCCCGCGTGGCATACCCGTGCAGAGAACCGCCCCCGCGCTCCTCTCGGCCGCAGGACAGCCTCAGGACGAGCCCACTGGGCGCAAATGACCGTTCAGAGCGAAGGGCTCTTCCAGAGCCTCCTCCGCCTCCTGAGCCTTTTCCGCCTCCTCCTCCTCCTCCTCCTCTTCCTCCTCCTCCTCTTCCTCCTCCTCCTCCTCATCCTCCTCCCCCCTCCTCGTCCTCCTTCTCCTCACTCGCCTCCTTCTTCTCCTCCTCCTCCTCCTTCTCCTCCTCCTCATTTCCATACTCTTTGTACAACGCTCCTCTCTCCCCTGACTCTGTGCGGCAGATGTCCTCCAGTTGCCGCGTATTGTATGACACACAGGATCTCAAAAACTGTTTCCGAGCTGTGTGTTCTATATGCTTGGTCAATCCGATTGTTTGCGGTGTTTCAAAATGGTGTTCCCACTGCATCGTGGGCTTCATTTTCACATCTGCGCTGTGCTCCCGCCGTTCAAACTGGCGTCTTCGCCCTAGCGCGGGCCGTTCTTCTGGATCCGATCCATGTTTCATGGTTGTCGCTTCCCTCATGCCCCCTCCTCCGACTTCCCCTGGTCCTCTTGCTCCTCCCACTCCCTCCACTCCAATTCCTGCTGCTGCTGTTCGCCCTCGTCTTCCTCCTTTTTTCCTCGTGCTCGCCCGCCACCTCCTCCTTTCCCTCCTCCTGATTACGCGGTTCTCCTTTTGCCTACTGCGGATGAAATATGTATGCGTATTACAGCTTGCCTATGGCACACGTCCGCGGCTAGAAAAAAACTGCGCCATGGGATCGGATGGGATGAAGGGATGGGATGTCCGACATGGTGCGGGACCACAAAGTTCGTCATCCTCCTCTCTCCAATCTCCTCTACCCTCTCCAGTCTCTCCTCTCTCCTCCCTCCTCCTCCTCCTCCTCCTCCTCCTCCTCCTCCTTCTGTTCCTCCTCCTCCTGCTATTCCTCCTCCTCCTCCTCCTCCTCTTCCTCCTCCTCCTCATTCTCCTCCTCCTCCGCCTCCTCCTCCTCCTCCGCCCCCTCTTCCCCCTTTTCCTCCCCTCCTCCTCCTCCTCTTCCTCTCCTCCTCCTTCCTCTCCTCCTCCTCCTTTTGCTCCTCCTCCTCGTCCTCCGCCTCCTCCGCCCCCCCTCATCCTCCTCCTCCGCTCCTCCTCCTCCGCCTCCTCCTCCTCCTCCTCCTCCTCCTCCTCCTCCTCCTCCTCCCCCCCTTCTCGCACGTAGCTGCGCGCCGCGATGTCTTAGCTCCGCGCTCGCCCGCGCCGCAGAGAGGCCCGTGCCTGAGGCGCGAGCGCAGCAGCCTGAGAGGAAGATAGTGGCCCAGCTGCCGAGAAACGAGCCCGCGCGAGAGTGTGCAAGAGATAGACAGAAGCAGGAAGCTCAAGGAAGTTCAAACGCGAAGGGTCAGCGAAGAAGCCAAATGAAGCAAGGGGGCACTCAGGAAAACCATGTCCGACAATGGAGGACCAGAGAGGCTTAAATCTCGCACATTGTGAGAAGTAGTGCTTGAAATCGTCACGGCCACCACATCGTAGAATGCACCGAAAGGGTGTCTCTGAAGTGTGAATTCGCTATGACGTGGCCCACGCGCCAGCAAGAGTTTTCCAGACCGCTTGCGCGATATGGAACGACACTCGCTGCACCAGTTGCTGGTGAACCTGCCAGTCTATAGTTCTGATGTTCGCAGCCTTCTCAGGCCAGCACACACGAAGACGGGCAGACAACTGGGCCTTTAGACTAGCTGGGTACAACAAAGACTTAATGTCGGAACAGATCTGACCTTCAGATCTGTTCCGAAATTATGTTCAGATTAATTCCGTACTTAAGTCCCGCCGCTTTCACTTTGGGCACAGGCTCGAAGCCTCGAGAGGCCCTACGGAAATTTGGCACCAATGGCTCTCCGCCCCAAAAACTCCGGATACAAACGGCCAGCCGCAATCTCCGACAAGGATAATCTGTCCCTCGCATGCTCGAGCTTACTGTGCAAGACCTGCCATTCAGGGTATGTGATCAACGCAGCACGCATGAGGGCACTCACGCAAAACGCTTGGATAGACGCTAGCGAGGGACCCCACCCCCCCCCCATTCGGCCAGCTCGAACCATCCAGCTCTCGAGGACAGCAGAAGGGAGCATTATGCAGAGACGAGAACAAAGCATGCTCAACACGAGGCGTGGGGGAAGAGAGACAGGAGGGATCAGAGGGCCGAGGAAGAAATTGGGCAACGTAAGAGAGGACGGAGACACAACGCTCATTAGACAAGTATGTGGTGACCGCGGCGGGACACTTGGCAGCAGTAGTCGCGGCACCCCGCCTCGCCCAATTCAGATGTGGGGCCTGCCAGCTACGTTCTCCTGCGCCCGGTCCCAGGACAATGCCCAGGTGCAGAGCAGCATCCACAACGTGAAATCCATTGCATTCAGGTAGCCACTGTTGTAGCCACTCTTGATACATGGCGACCACAGAAGGATAGAACTTGCCGATCAGCGCCACGATACAGCACTTCCGAATCTTCAGCACCAACCGAACAATTCTCTTACGGACACCGACGACCTGTTTCAAGGCCATCAAGAAACGCAGTTCATGAACGACACCTCCGACGTCATCCGCACATGCTCTGGCGCAGCTCAGCATCCCAGAAACAGAATCCACCACCTCATGCATGTGAGCTAAGAGCGGGTGAGACGCCACATCGTAGACCACTCCAGAGGCAGGGCACCCTTGCAGAACCCCGCTGGCGATGGGATGGAGCACGCGCTTCTCGTGGCCAGCCGCGTCAAAGCACACGATCCCATCATAGATCGCCATCAGGAAACACAGCAAGGGCTCGGGAAATCCAAAGCATCCGAGAACACGAAGGAGATATCCATGCGAGATGGAGGGGGGAGCCTGTCCATAATCGAAAGTATGAAATGCTGGTAGATTGATTGACCCAGACGGCAATGTCGAAACCAACCGTGACTGCGCATCCATCTCAAGAATATTGAAGCCGAAATTTCGTCCAGGAACGAATCCCCTTTGAG